CAAACCTATTTTTTTTTTTTTTTAATTGAGTTTGGTGCTGCGGAGCCCTCAACTTCTCCTATCTCTCCATTTAAAACACTCACCAGTTCTGATAACAACTAGCCATCTATATACATTAATATTGGTTGTGTATCTTTCATGCAAGTTCATGCTATACCTCCAATTTTCAATTTCTCAGTGCTTTCGTTTTTGTTCTAATAGGTTCTAATTGATGTGCTAGCTAGGGTAGGTACTGTGTCCCTCTCAAACAAACTCTCCATCTCTTTTTAAGATAGAGAGTTGGAAATACCTCAAATATAGGGTTGGATTATGAAAAGTTATTTTGGATGTTCTGTATGTTGTGCGCAGCGGAATCCGAAAAGAACACAACCAAACTGAGTTGGAATCACAACCAATAGGTAAAACGAGAACTAAACAATGCAAGACACATATTTTACGTGGTTCGGCAAGTTGCCTACGTCCACGAGGCAATGAGGGAATGGATTTTACTATTAGAGAGAGAGAGAGAGTACAAATAGAGATTATAAATTCACTCAAAACTCACAAATTTTAATCTCTCAAACAAACCCCTCAAATCTCTCACCAAATCTCCCAATCACACAGCTCAAAAGTCTCTCTTCTGTGTTTTTTCAGAGGTAGAAACCCTAAACAAATCGTGTTTGTATTTATATCAAATACCAATCCCAAACAGACCAGGAAATCAAGCACAGGCCCATACCCGAGTCGCGGTCGACTGCCATTGACCTCTCGGTCGATCGACCAGAGGGCTGAAAACTCAGCCCGATAATTACAGGGTTTGCGGTCGACTGGGCCTAGCCTCGCGGTCGACCGGTCAGAGATCCAAAAAAAATGCACCCTGTAGTGTGCACGTTTCCGGTCGACCGGACCTAAGCCCGCGATCGATCGACCGACCAGCATGCAAATTGCCTCCAGCTTCGTTTTTCCTGTATTTTTCCGTCGTTTTCGCCGTTTCTACACTACATATATAACTCGATTTAATTTAGGTTCTATCTTAGATCGTCTGTCCATCAATATTGTAGAGGGTGTTTCTAGTGTGAAGGTGAGAATCAATACAATACAAAAATGTTGTTGGCTACGATCATATTGAAGCGCAAACACTCAAAAAGAAAATGGAAAGCTATGATTAAAATTGCTTAATATATCACTTACTTGAAACAGTTTCCAACAACAACCCAGCTCTACTCATACTCTCTCTGAATCTTGTGTAACAAGCTATTTAGAATTTTGAGTCGCGACTGCGAGTTGAAGAGGGATCAGTGTCATTAAAATAGTTTCATAAGTTACCAAGTGTACGCACACTCATAGTGTGGACCATCTATATGCAATTAACCCAATCCAAAATCATAAGCTCTGACTCAATTACCGGTCAAAAATATGCTTTCCTCACTATGAAAACGTAGGAATAAGCTTAGACTTACATGCAAAGTATCTCTCATTATAAATGCACATCCCAACAAAGCCTCACTCCTCCACATAAAACCATCCTCCTTATGCTCACTATTGCCAACAATGGTCTCCGACTCTTCCGTCACCGGCCACATCCTCTCCTCCGTCGTCCCTTCCAACGTCACCGGCGACCTCCTCCACGAGCTCACCGGTGTCGACCTCGCCTCCAAACTCCACTACTTAAGGGCCGTATACTACTTCAAGCCGAGTGAGGCCGTAGAGAGGCTGACGATATGGCAGATGAAGGAGCCCATGTTCTTGATGCTTGGCGCGCTTTACGCGGCGGCTGGCAGGATCAGGCGACACGAGACAGGCAGGCCGTACATCAAGTGCAACGACAGCGGCGTGTAGAGGAGGGGAAGGAGATGGAGGAGGTTGACAGGGCCAAGCACCTTGTGTATGACAGGGTGCTCGGTCCTGATCTCGCTTTCTCTCCTCTGGTTTACCTTCAGGTGATCCACTGTCTCCTTATTTTTATTTTTTTAGGTTAATAACGGATACATCTTCTGTACTGTGATAGCTATATATATTTTTAAACTTTTTTTTTAAAAAAAAATTAGCATGCACACTGTATATTGGAATACCAATTAACAGAGATCTAGGCTTTTATTTGAAAAATAATATCGTTTGGGGGGTTTAGAAAGTGTAAGTTGAACTACAAGGTTTATAGACCGTAATTAAGTAGATAAGCCCAACAATATAAGATATATTTGATATATATTGCAAACGCTTGTTAACCCTTTTTATTTTAGTGCAATATAGCTATATCACAGTAGATAGAAGAAGAAAAAAAGAGTTGCTATGTATAGGATACTACGGAATACATCTGGTTACTTTAGTAGAAATGGAGAGTTTTTATTTAATTTCGATACCTTTTTTGTTTAGTACTACCTTGATAAAAGATGGAAACTTGAATATATACTTGTTAAAAGAACAACAGCTTTCTAATTATATGATTATTATGGTTTGTCTTGATTAAAGAATAGGGACGAGCATGTTTATCACAAGATATGCTGATAACCATACATGAAAGGAATCACACCTATGATTTAAAAATGGAAATTCCAATCCAAAACAAAAAGACTTGATCTAATACATTATTTTTCACTATTGGCTCATGACAACTCAAAGAGGAAAATATGCCAAACAAGACAACATTTGACACTCCCAAGTTTCAAAATTTAACCTCCAATTTCCCACCACCAGCTAACACTTTCCTAAAGAAAATCAATTATTGTTAATACACAATCATGTAATTTGTAGAAATCTAAGAGATATAAAGGTGGTGATGGCCTTTTCTTTAATAAAGAACAAATATAGAAAAGAGAAACACCTTCTAGATATCACCACTGTATACATTCACAAACAACACAAGTTATTGATGAACAACCATTTACTTACACCCACAATAACACAACCACCACGACACATAGAACTACTAAAATAAATTACAATATTGATGAACCAACCAAGATATATAACTAGAAGTCCTACGCCTATTGTATAAAAGTATATAATTGTATATACATCAACAAAAAAAAAGTTCATATTGTTAAGGAACCACCATATGGGGACATAAGAGTAATGCAAAGCATCCGGTCCTAACAAAAAAGGATGTCATAAAAGCAACTCCCCATCCTCAAAATGACACATCCAGGCACTTTATCCGTATTTATAGCTTCATTAATATTTCCCTTCACAGTTTTCACATTAGAGGCAAAATTTCACAGTTCAGAGAATTTATTGTGTAGCCTTTTTTAGATCCAATCATGCTATAGGCAACTGTTTATTAAATGTGGTCCTAAGTTGCACGAGATACTACTGGTTGGTAGTAAGCAGAAATGTTGAGATAATTAAACACAAAGCCAGAAATATAGAGAGACTATCACAAACACAATATTTACGTGGTTAATGTTGAGATAATTAAACACAAAGCCAGAAATATAGAGAGACTATCACAAACACAATATTTACGTGGTTCGATCAAATTGATCTACGTCCACGGCAAGAAATATAGAGAGACTATCACAAACACAATATTTACGTGGTTCGATCAAATTGATCTACGTCCACGGCAAGAATGGGCTAAATTTTATTTCTCTAAGTTTTCACACAAGTACAAATCTCTTGAGAGTGATTGCTCTGCTTGATTATGTAGCTCACTCCCTCTTCTAGTTGAAAAACCTTCTCTGAGTTTTAGAGAGAACGAGAGATCTTTAGAATTCAGTAGGACCCACCTCAAATTGACTTCTCTCTACACGAAGTGATGGCGATGACGACACTAATTTCAAGCGGCTTGTTGCTTCTGTGGCTCAAATCCAGAAAAGCCGCCAATGTTGAAAAAACTTAAGAAAGAAGTGAGGTGACAGAAATCTCCATCTCCCCAATGTCTTGTTGTGTTCTCTTTTCAAATTCAAATGGGCCTCTGTCAGATGTCTAAATTCAAGCCAATATCTACAAGAAATTACATGGCAACATCAAGAAATAGATAAGGGTACAAAGTTGGTTGGAGATATCAATAGCATATAGCTTTAACTGATTCACATGAACACTTTTATGAGGAGGGCTAGCTTGTGTTGGCATTAAGTTGGCAACTCTACATTTTCTTCAGGGGAAAAAAAGGATTTTTTTTTTTTTTTTTGCAAATATGGTATTTAGATTCCAGATGCATTTTGGTCTTATCTGGGTAAATATAAAGGCATGCTAAAATATGAAATTGAATTGATTACCAACATAATCTAGTTTAATGTGATATAGAGCTAATTAACCTCCCTAATTACGTACATTTTTTGTCATATTTTTATGAAGACCCCAAGTTGAATAGGGAGTTCAGTTCATGCAGTGCATTTGTGAACTCAAGTGTACCTAACAGCTACTCACCACCTAATAGCAATACACATCACGTGTTGTTACCTATCCGTATCAATATGAATATTCAATAATATTCTAGCATTTCCCTAAGGAAATATATAGTAAAATGTACAGTAATATGTGCATGTTTCAGTTGAACCATAATTGTATTTCTAACTTCAGATAGGATCTCAGTCTCTATATATGTCGTTTCCTTCCTAAAACAGTTCACTCGGTTCAAATGTGGAGGGCTCGCTATTGGTTTGAGCTGGGCTCATGTCCTCGGTGATGCAGTCTCTGCATCAAACAGCCTCAACCTCTGGACTCATATCCTTAATACTAACCAACCTCCAACCAAAATCCAGCATCAAAAAGAGACTGACAACAAAATTACTTTACCTATCACCGAGAATCCTCGCTCTCTCAAGAAAGTTGAACCGGTTGGAGATTTCTGGTTACCTTCCACCAGTCTTAAGATGGCTACCTTCTCCTTCAAAATCAGCAAGAGCAAGGTGGGCCATCTGCAGTCAAAGATGTCAGGTCATGTTCAAGCATTTGAGGCCATCTCTGCCGTAGTATGGCAGAGCCTGGCAATATTAAGAAATGACACCTCTGAAGAAAGAAAATATGTTTTGGGCAACAAGCAGATTATAAGCACAGTTTCCATCGATTCCTCAGTTGCAAAGCTTGAGCTATCAGAATTAGCGATGCTGATGAGGAACAGTGATAAGGATGAGAAGAAGTCCATTGCTGAGATTGTCGACAAAGGGGATGGGAAAGAAGACTTCATTATTTATGGTGCAAATCTGACATTTGCTGACATGCAAGGAGTTGACCTATATGGGTTGGAGCTCAAAGGCCAGAAGCCAGCTTATGTGGACTATAGCATTCATGGAGTGGGAGAAGAAGGGGCAATCTTGGTGCTTCCTGCTCCTGATGAATCTGGCACCGGGGGGAGAGCTCTGACTGTGATTCTACCAGAAGACGAGATCTTGAAACTTAAGGAAGTGCTTGCAAGTGAATGGAGTATTGCCTAAAGAAATTTGTTAGTTCCTCGGTTCAAGTTTGACTGATGCTTTAAAAAGAATATTGAATTGTTTCCGTTGGTTGTGAAAATTTAAGTGTGGAAGTGTATATGATGTTGAAGATGTAAGAAGGATGTTTTATTGTCCTGAAGTTCAAATAATTATCAGGCAATTGTGAAGCCAGATTTTAGTTTCCACAGGTAATTCTTCTGATAGAATCATATTAGATAATGCAGCATGCATGATTGACACATATCTACCTTTTCATCCATGATATAGTTCAGCTACATGGTGTTCTTTGGGTTTGTGATCCCTGAAACACACAGCTGCAGCAAATAAGCATGAATTAATGGAGAATAGTGCAAACATAAAAGATTGCATTTTAAGAAAGAATAATTTGAGCTTAGAAGCAAAAACTTGATATCAAGAATATCATAGAAACCTTCATAAAAAAGCCAATTTGTCATTGGGAAAAAGGCACTGTGATTGAGAAAGCTGATGAATGCTGCTGCTTTCACCACTTTGGGTGACTCCCATCATCTACAGCATCAATCTCTAGCAGTGAAGAAGTAACATATTGCTCATGATTTCCATTCAGTTATTTAAGCGTTGCTTTCCTGCCTCCTCATTGTGGATCACCTAAAGGACCGACACGGAAATAGTGCAGTGTCAGACAATACGACAGGCTTGCTCTCAACAACAAAGCCTTTATCCCATAATTTTGGGATCGGCTATATGAGTTCTAGTCCTCCATGCTCCATCAATCATAATTTCAACAATTTCCATAATGAATCATCCCAGTAGCTCTTCCTCATTTTAACCTTAATGGAAGCAATATGAGTTTTGTCCCCATGGATACGCTCATTTCTTATTCTATCTCTTACTGTATGTCCACTCGTCCATTGTAATATTGTCATTTCTACTAAACTCATTCTTGTTGGACACATTGTTCTTAATTGTCAATATTCTAATTCATAAAGGATTGTTGATCTTACAGTCTATAAAAAATTTCCTCCATTTTCATGGATATCATACAATTACAGGATTTTGGACGCACTTTCCCACCTTAACCGATAGGGTACAATTATGATTCGCATTTATTACATTACAGTTCCATGTAAATTTAGGCTTTGACGTCTAAATAGCATGACCAGGCAATGCATTAATATAATATCAAATTATCATTTTGAAAGTAACAAGAATTCATGAGCAGGGGAATGAGAAAGCATGAAGTGAGCAGGGGAATGAGAAAGCATGAAGAGCATAACTAGTAACATCGTGAATCATAAACATGTGGATACTTGGTTAAGATTTTACCATCATTCCAAAATGCATGTGATGTAGAACGGAAGTGATGATAAATAGTGCTCGGATGAACAATACCCGCGAACAATAACTTCTAGTTTTTTTAATTATTTTGTAAATAAAAAGGCCAAATAAAGAAAGATAAAAGATAAATAGGCTAGACCGGATTCACTCACATCATCTAACCTCTGAAAAACAATTGAAGAGGCTGGTTTTACACGCGGACGCCTAATTACGAAAATATGGCTTCACGCCTATGGAATCACTCCAAATCATATCTCAGAACTCATATGTTGCTCATCAATGTTCTCTTCCTCAAAATGAAACATTACAATCATTTTTACAGCCATAAAATAAAATCATGATCCTAACTAATTGATAACATCAAATCTAACAAAATAACAAAATTAAAAAAAATAACAAATCTAACTAAATAATAGGTCTAATCCTAAACAAATATCACAAAATCATATTCTTAAAAAAATCCTAACTAATACGGTCTTCTAGATGTCCTACATCTCCTCCTCTTTAAATTCAATATCCTTGTTGAAAATGCTAACTGAGATTGTAAGCTTCTACAGTGTCATCACGAAGGATTTTTGATCTTACTTGGGCTCAAGATTTGACCCTGGTGATGACTGGGCTCATGAAGTAGATCCATTTTTTTCTTTTTTTGCAGAGAAGAAGAAGATGAAAATGGACCTTTCGGCTTTGATACCAAATGATGCAGAACGGAAGTGATGATAAATAATGCTTGGGTGAACAGTACCCGGGGACAATAACTTCTCGTTTTTTTTCTTGTAAATAAAAAGACCAAATAAAGAAAGATAAAAGATAAATAAGCTAGACAAAATTCACCCACAACATCCAACCTCTAAAAAACAATTGAAGATGCCGGTTTCACACGCGGACGCCTAATCAAGAAAATATGGCTTCACACCTATGAAATCAATCCAAAACATCTCTCAGAACTCATATTTTGTTCATCAATTTTCTCTTCCTCAAAATGAAACATTACAATCCTTTTTATAGCCATAAAATAAAATCATAATCCTAACTAATCGATAACATCAAATCTAACAAAATAACAAAATTAACGAAATAACAAATCTAACTAAATAATAGATCCAATGCTAAACAAATATCTCAAAATCATAGTCTAAGAAAAATCCTAACTAATATTATAGTAATAACCTAACAGGACAATGGACGGATCACGAATTACTCATTTTTGAGAGATGCTTAGCCATAACCTGCAATATCTTTCTGTCGATTACAAATACCTATGCAATCTCCTAGCATAAAAAATTTAGAAAATTTCAGAGCATACCTTTCATGCGCTAAATAACGCCTCTGGGCTCTGGATATGTAATCTCCTGAGAAATCCTTCCGCTGCTGAGGAAAGATACAAGTATTTACCTGATCCTTGCATGTTATCCACAGAAAATTGTCATAAAACTAGCAAAAGAATAGGTGTACGAATGGAGGCCAAGCACCAGAACCCAATTACTTATCTCTGTGCATAGACAACATCACATCTTTCATGAAGGAAAATAGTGAAAAGTGGAAAGGAAAATAAAAGTGGCGCTACATTATCAAGCAAAAGCCTGTGGTTACATCATCGTTCTCACCTTGATAATATAAAATGCTAGAAGCTTGCTGTTTCAGATAACAATAGGTTAACAGATAAAAATATAAGTCAACATATAAATATGTACTCGAGCAGGCTAAACCAGCATCATAACAGTATAGATTTTTATATAAGGAAGACTATACAATCTGATAACATATAGAAGTAGACATGCTTAGATAAATACAAAAAATTTCTTTACACAGCAACTAAAACTACAAGAAAAAGCTTCTCATCCTGGCGATGAAATTTTTTCAGCATCAAACTTCATAACCAGGATTAACCTTTTGTTGAATATTATCATAGCTCTCTAATTCGTGCATATCCTCCGAGCTCCCCATAAATAAGGGAAGTCTTTGATGCAGCTTGACCGGTTGAATTGAAAGAATCCTTGTTTTACCATCAGATCCTCTACCTCCAGCATGCTCGACTAAAAAACTAAGAGGGTTCGCTTCGTAAACTAAGCGAAGATGATCCCTTGGATTCATGACTACTCCACCGTACATGAGTGTCCGATGCAAATCAGCAACCAAAGAACATATGTAACGAGCGGAGTATTTTTTAGGGAACTTCCCCTTACCCTGCCTTATGGTGTCAATGTACTGCCTTAAACCATCAGGCCAGTCAAAATATCGAGCATCATTCACAGAATATATCTGCCCTGACATCACAAAGACATTAAAATGAGACTTTAGAGTTTATACTGAACTGAAGTGTTCTCTATTATAAGAAGTTTAACTTGACACCTATAAACCATTTACTTCTTGGTATAATGTGAACTCTTTAAGCCTTCTCTTATCAGACAAGGGTCATTGTGATCCGTGGAGGATATTTATCGATTTGTAATAATCCATGATAGGAACTTGCCTACATATTGACACAATTTTTAGCATGATTTATTTATTCTTTGTCTTCCCTAAGATTTAATGTTCATATCCCTCCATGTTTCCTACAATAAGGGCTTTTCCACCTACAAAGAAACCTACTAGGTCCTATGAATGGTTGGTGCACGAAGATTCGAAGAATAATGATTTGATGCTAGGCTCACTGCCGATGTGATACAACGGAATTTGTCTTCTTACAAGAATTGAGTTTCTATTGAAGTAAAGTGTTCTCTTCTTACAATAAGTTTAACTTGACAGGTAAACCTTTACTTCCAAATTTTTAACCATATTGTGCATTCATCATCGTCAAAATTAGTGTCAATTAAGCCGCTTCTTATCAAATTTCGATCTTTGTGAAGGACACTTCTCTAGGTATGAACAGTCAATGATAGAAATTTAGTTTCTTATTGACAAGATTTTATACCATTGATCTAGATTCTTTGACTCAACCCTTCTTCCTTGAACTTTAAGGTTCATATCCCTCCATTTCCCCATGTTTCTCACAAAGAAAAACTCATAATGACGTGATGATTCAGTCCTAGAATATTCACGAACTAGACCTGTGGAAATATAAATTTTTTTAGGGAAGTCCAAGAAATTTTACCCCGCGGAGGAATTCGTATAGTAGGATGTGTTAAGACAAATTCTCCAGTTGAATGATCCAGCGTGAATGCGTGAGTTCCCGACCCAAAGCTAATGCACAAAATAGTGGCAGATGAATATAAGACATAGCCAGCAGCAAGAAGCCGAGTCCCTCTTTGAAGAGAATTAAGCTGTGCCTTCTCCTCAACGGGAAGATGGTCTAATTCAGAAAGCCTACTATATATTCCAAAAATTGTTCCAGTTGGAATGGAGGCATCAATGTTTCTAGAACCATCTAGAGGATCAGTGACAACCACGAACGGGCCGTTGTCGGTCAACCAAACTGGCTCTCCATCTTCTTCTGATGCCATGACAGCAACTTTTCCTGAGCTCCGAAGGGAAGATAGTATTATGTCATTCTACAAGAAGGAAAAAAATTCCTGTTAAAATGCAAGAAAAATGGCAGCACGGGATATCACAAGGATAGTTGAGATGGTTTGGCTTTGAATACACACTACTTATAAGACATGAAGTTAACGATATACTTGAATTCAACAAACATATTATCTTGAATAAACTAGTATTACAGTGAAACCGCATCGACTAAGATCCTATAAAGAGAAGAAACCATAAAAAAATTTCATCACGAAAAAATACACAAAATCACCAAAAACGCAAAAACCCAACCGACCCATATCTCACATCCCCCCAATTCAAACAAAAAGCTAATAAAATGAACAAAACAGGTTCAATTACCGAGACCAAATCGAGGGGCTTGGGCTTATCCCTACCCGAATCCGACACCGGCCCATCGCCCCCAGCCGCCAAACTTCTCCCAAATTCCGACCCAAAAGGAGAAGAGACGACGGAAGAGATCCTTTTGCAAGCAGACTGCAGATGGGTCACCAGGATGGCGAGGTCATCTCCAATGCTGATGGAGTCCGATTGGGGCCTGGACATGAACTCGAGCAGAGTTTGGGGACCCATTTGGGATTTGGCGCTGAACGAGGAGAGGAGAGGTTTAGCTCGGGGCTTGGAGAATGGGAGGCTGGGGCTGAAGAAGAGCGGGGATTTGATCATCGCAGAGGGATTAATGAAAGAGGAGAGGGTCTCACTGGAGGGAGACGGAGATAATTAGATAGAGAGAGGGGTTTTGGGCTTGTCTTTGGGCCTTACATAGCTTAGCCCAGTAAAGAGGCCCAAATTGAAATGATTTTTTTTATTTTTTGGTGGTGTAGTTTAGGTGGCGTTTGGTTGTTTGCAACTAGAGTTGCAATGCAAGTGTCACTTGCATGCAACTGAGACGTTGCAACTCTTCTTACATGCAACTACAGTTGCAATTGTTTGGTTTAAAATTTAAATTTTGTAACTTATAGTTGTAGTTGTTTGATTATGCTTATAACTTAACATATGCAACTCATAAAATATTTTTTTAAAAATAATATTTTTTAAAAAGTAATATTTTTTAAAAAATAATATATTTTTAAAAAATAATATATTTTAAAAAAATAATATATTTTTAACAAATAATATATTTTTAACAAATAATATATTTTTAAAAGTTAATATAATATTTTTAAAAATAATATAACATATCATTTAAAATATATATTATTTTTAAAAAATTATATTATTTTAAAAATACATTATTCAAAAAACATATTACTTTAAAAATATATTGTTCAAAAAATATATTATTTTAAATATATATTATTTTTAGAAAATTATATTATTTTAAAAATACATTATTCAAAAAACATATTACTTTAAAAATATATTGTTCAAAAAATATATTATTTTAAATATATATTATTTTTAGAAAATTAAAAAATATATTATTTTAGAAAAATATATTATTCAAAAAATATATTATTTTTAAAAATATATTATTTTTAAAAATATATTATTTTAAAAAATATATTATTTTAAAAAAAATATTATTTTAAAAAATAATATATTATTTTAAAGATAATATATTACTTTTAAAACTAACATATTATTTTGAAGAAATTATTATAATAATAATTATTTTAAAAGATTGATGTTGTTTTTTTTTAAAAACGTTTTTGAAGAAATTATTATAATAAGAATTATTTAAAAGATTATTTTAAACCTTAAATGAATTTATTTTTGAAATATTAAGTAATGATTTTGATTTTAATAAATTTATGTCAGTTGCAACTAAGTTGCAACTATGACTTGCGGCCATTTTTGACGTAAGTCATATGTTGCAACTAAGAGTTGTTTTGCAACTGTGATTGCAGCTGCAACTGTGAGTTGCAGCAAAACAAACACATGCAACTAATCAAGTTGGACCTAGTTGCATGCAACTGGAGTTGCAACCACTCCAGTTGCAGCCTACCAAACAGCCCCTTACTATGGACCAAGTTGGTATTGGTGGAGCTCATAAAAAGTTGATGAGGGGGAAATTTTCCTCTTCATTCCCTTCTTCTTCATTATCCTCCAATTTGGGGTGTAACATTTTGGCACAAATTTCCCCTCCATTCCCTCCTTTACCCTCATAAATGCAGCTCCTAAACAATGTTTAAATTACATTTATCTTCCCCTCCCCCTCTCTACCCTCCATCCAAACAGGATATAAAAGTAACTTTAAGCTGCTGGGAAAAAATAGTCGTTAGATAATTATATAAGAATAGCAGATTCGCAGAGCAGTTAAAGTAGTATTTGGTAAAATTATGCTTTATTAAAGTAAAAATAACCACAACACATATAACTTTAGCTTCATATTTATTTGTAGTAAAAAAATATTATCAAATTATTTTGGAAAGTGGAAAAAAATAGAGAACGTACTTTCTTAATAAGGTGCTTTAGTACTACTTTATATTTTGCAAAAATCTTATCTAGATAATGAAAGTAAATAAAAAAAAATCCTTTTTCGGTTTATCATGAAAAGTGATAGCAAAAAGTGGACAAACAAAACTAAACGGATATGTGAAAACTTTTAAAATATATTATCTCTGTCCTCTCTCTTCACTTTTCATCCACTTTTTTGAAATTTTTAAGAAAGTGAAAGAAGCTAAAATGCTGATGTTGCAGCTTCTCTTTCTAGTTACTTTCCGTTCATTTAACACCTAGGGGCTGTTTGGTTGTTGTTGGTAAAGTTGTGTATTTATGACACAACTTGGAAAGTTGTTGTCCACCTCATCAATTTCACTTTTATACTTTCTTTGTTTGTTTTTTATTCTATTGGAATCATAAAACACTTGTTTGGTTTGCAAAATGAAACTTTAATTGTTTGTTTGGAAAGTGTAAAAAGTGATCCCTACTCAAATGATCATATTGGTTGGAATTATTTTTTCTTAACTTCAATGTTAGCTTTCTCATAAAATCATGTCTTTTTTTCATGAAATCACTTTACAAGTCACATCAGCATATGAAATCACTTTACACTATTTTCACAACTACAAACAAACAATTGAAAGTGATGAAAGCTAACATTGGGACCCACTTTTTTACACTTTACATCCTTTTACATGGTAATAACATACAACCAAACAGCCCCCTAGCAAACAGGAAAATAAAGGAAAATAAAGTCACTATTTAATATTATTTTTTATTCATTTTTTATTTACTTTCTGCTTGCTAAACATATCCTAAAAATGGTTCTTATAGTACAAAAAACTATGAGCAGACAGAAGTTGCTTTTCAAACATTCCCGCATTGCTTAATTGACCCCAAAAAGCAAGTTTTGATGAGCATGAAAAGGGGAAAAAAAGATCAAAAGTAAGTAGAAGCACACTAAAAAAAAAGCAAAATACAAAACTGGCCTGAAAAAAACTGACTTTCCCCCGAGTCAGAAACCGTGGCCTGTATTTGGGCTTTAATACTCAGTATCAGATATACCTGGGCCTGGGCCTAAAGAGGACCCAGTATAAGAAATTATACGTGCTTCCCACGGAAAGCCCAACTACTATATAAGCCAAAAGCCCCGACGTTCGCTCTTCCTCTTACCAATTCGGCCGCCTCTTGTGCCGAACAAAACCCTAGAAACCCCCCCCCAAAAAAAAAAAAAAAAGAAAAACCCTAGAAACCCTAATGGCGAAATCGATGAGATCGAAGAGGAAGAAGAGGCTTCGAACCCTGAGGAGGGAGATCGCAGAGCCCTTCTACGACAAGAAGGAGGATGCCAAGCTCAAGGCCCAGGAGGCCGCCCTCAACGCCCCAAAGCTCCCCGTTCGCATGCCCAAGCCCAGCTCTGATTCCATGGAGCTCATCACCAACGAAACCTCGTCCAACTCAATGGGTAAACGATGAAATTAGTTTTTGATTTCTTCATATTTTTGGCTGAAATCATAGAATATTTTGCATCGTAGAATAAGCTTAGTGATTTATTCAAAAAAAAAATCGAAATTTGGCGAAAGGAAAGAGAAATTGAAACAATGGTCGATGTGGGTTTGGGGAGTTTTAGTAAAATGACAAGCTTTATGTTAATTTGTCATTTAGTAGAAGATTGAAAGCCCAACTGTCGATTGCATATATTATCAATAACATTCTCATCTAATCTTTTACCCAAGAGATTTTGTTAGAAAGCAAAGCTCTAGCGGTGAGTATTCTGTATTGCTTATTTCATGGCAAGAACTGTGGATAGGGGAGGGATTTGCAATGAGAAGGCTATGTTATTTTCTTTTCTAATAGAGATCGTGGAATAGAGATATCAACCTTAATATTTGCTAAGGACCAAGTGATTTCTTTTGTTTCAGGCTCTGTTATCCAGAGATTGCTTCAGTTGGTAAGATCACATTGATTCGTTAACCAAGAATTTTTGTGAGAAACACCCGAGCTTGTGTGAAAAGTTAAAACTCGACCATCAACGAATTATTTGGGCAGTTTTAAATTTATTAATAATTTCATAACCGCGATATGAAAATTAATCCTTCGATGAATATAGGGATGCCGACTATCTCCAACTCAGGTTCTCAGTATTAACATCATTGGAGCCTTTTCTCATTAGAATAGTGCCTAATGTCAACCTTTTGAAGCAAAGAGATATGGAGTAGACCTTAGATAACTTGGTTAGAAGCAATTAAGAAGTATATGATAATGGTTAACCTAATAGAGGGTAAGGCCAAAAATCGAACAGATTGGAAGCATAGAATTCATGTAGCTGACCCCAAACATTACGGATAAAGGCTTTGTTGTTGTTGTTATTGGTGCCTGATGTCAACCTTTTGAGGTGGTGCTTTATTTCTTTGTGCAAACTCCAGATGATGGAGACGCTCCCTATAATTCTTAAATATCAAAGAACAATGAAATATGGACTAATTAAACACCCAAGATATTTAAGTAAGTTTGATGCTTTTGTTCCTTTAGCTGGCAGAACCTACATCTCTTTCTTTTTACATTTAGATGTGTCAGATAACCGATTAGAGACGTCATCAAGTATGCAGTATATCTGAGCATACATGTAGGAAATAGGATATGTTTCCCACCTTGTGCTTAACCTGCTTTTTTCCTATTTGTTTTTGAGCAGATGTAGAAATGGCCGATGGAGGAAACGATCAATCCAAATCATTATTGAAGCCTGTAGGTGGTATTGGGAAGAAGAAATTGAAGATGAAACTGCAGCTGAAGAAAGAAAAGCGTCGCAAAAGAGGAAAAGGGAAGGTTAGGAGGAAGCACAACATATAAATGCGTGTCTTGGAACTCTTTGCTTTGGCCGCAGTCTGCCAACGGTGTTTACTACACCGGTAGTAATGTAATGTTGTGTTACCAATTCCGGTTGAACGCGGTTTAGTGTGTAACGACCTTGGTTCGGAAAAGATATGATAAGTTATTTCAGTGTTTTTGCCGTACTATGAATGTTGATTTTAATTAACCCTCTCCTAGGATGTTCCTTGTTCACATTTTTCCAGACTTTTTGACTGATATTTTACCTTGAATCTTAAGTGTATCTTTACAGGAGATCTGCATATTGTTGATTTCCTGTTGGGAGTTTCAGTGTATCATTCATTTGAGCATGATTTCGAATTGGCATGAACTTACCATCTATTCAGTTACATCTCTGTAAACTGGTGCTGATTTCAACCTGTATGCAAAAAATGACGCAAACAGTAAGCTTTGCATTGTACAAAAGGCTTGCGCTCTCAGATTCAAAAATATAATGCATGTTGTTGTTCTCAGGAACTACCAGTAGTCCCGACAAGAACAAACCCCAGCTTTGAAACAATGAAACCTATTCACATCCCTCACTATAATCTCCCTCTCATAAACCTTCGACACAAACTTGATCATCATATGACAATCTCCACAAATGCGAAGATTCTTGGTCACTCTCAGAACCGCCCCAGCCCTCGTCCTCAAGATCCCAAATGCCACAGCGAGCTTCTCGCTATGAGTCATCAGATTACATTCCTTCTCCTCCTCGCTCACATCATGAAGAACGAAACTAATATCGGGTACATAACCCGCTGCTCTGATTCTCTTCGGTAAATCCTCTAAAAACATGTAGATCTCCCTCATCTCTGGGTGATCGTTCTTTCCACAGAAGAACGCATGAGCCTTGCCATTGATCTCAATCCAACTACATCCAGGGCTCTTCTTCACTCCTCTCTCTTTTAACAGACTTCTCAGTCTTTTAGCTTCCTCCCATCTCCCAACATTTGCATACATATTCGACAACAATGCATAATTTCCACAATTTTCGGGCTCTAACATGAACAAGCGCTTTGCGGCGATCTCTGCAATGTCAAGGTTGCGATGGGTACGACATGCTGAGAGGAGCGCGCCCCAGACGCTAGCGCCAGGCTCAACATCCATTCGTTCAATTATTCCCAATGCTTCGTCCAAACGGCCTGCACGGGCCATGAGATCGACGACGCAAGCGTAGTGCTCTGACCTTGGTTCGACATTGTGATTTGCCTTCATAGATTCGAAATACTTCATTCCTCGATCGACTAAGCCACCATGACTGCATCCGGATAGCAAAGAAGTGAATGTGATTGCATCGGGAGCTACCCTTGATCGGATCATATCCTCAAATGTTTCCACGGCCTCAGTTCCCATCCCATGGGAAGTGTAGGCCGTTATCATCGCGTTCCAAGCAACAACATCCTTATCATCGATACAAATCCTATCGAAACAACTATGCGCATCCCTAAGACTTCCGCATTTAGCATACATCGTGACCAGCGCGATCTGCACGCCTACATGCCTATCGAGGCCCATATCTGTAGCATACCGATGAATCCTCCGCCCTTGCTCGAGCGCACCAGCCTGCGCGCACGCCGGAAGCACGCTCGCCACCGTCATCCAGTTTGGCCTAACGCCATCGCAACCGCTCCTCACCGTCATCAAGAACTCATCGAACAACCCCAAAGCTCGATCTGCAACCCCGTTCTGTGAGTAGCCCGCTATCATCGCGGTCCAAGAAACGACGTTTCGTTCGGTTTCCCGCATCGTCCCAAACACCTCCTCGGCGCTTCTAACATCCCCAGTCTTCATATAGCCGTCAATCAAGGCGTTCCAACACGACGCATCCCTGAGAAACATCCCATCAAACACCTTGCGCGCGCGACCAACATCGCCGCACTTCACGTACATGTTGATCAAAGAGCTACCAACATACCTATCACCCTCGAACCCGAGTATCAAACACAACGAATGAATCGATTGCCCAAGAGGGAAAAGGGGGATGTCCGCCGACGCCTTGAGGACGAAGGGGAATGTGTAGTGATCGGGGGCGAGGCCGATGGCAAGCATTTGGACGAACATTTGGAGGACAGAGTGAGGGGAGCCAAAGCGGGAGTGGCCGCGGATGATGGCGTTGAAGAGAAGTGGTGGAGGGCCGCGGGTCTCTGAGAGAGTGCTACGGTGACCCAGGTCGTCTGGAGGAACACGCACCTTGGCGGCCGATGGATGGCCCCCAGTATCTTCGGTGTGAGGGGCGGGCGAGATGGGGACATGGCCTGGGGGAGGGGAGAGACGGGCCATGGATGCTTGGCGGCGCGCGAGCCCGGCTATAGGAGTTCGGTACCGGGCGATGAGCGGAAAGAGGGAGGGTAGGCGGATTCGGTTGTGTTGGCTTTGGATAGGTGTAGTTTTGCATTGGGAGTCTTGGGTTGGATCTTGTATGTAATTTTGATCGAAGATGTGCATGGGGTTTTGGGAGAGGGTAAGCGAGTTTGCGTGCATTCGGTTCTCTTCTTTTTTTTTTTGGAGGGAAAGTGTTCTCGGGAGGTTTAATCTCTGTAATCTGAGGTTTTAAAGAAGGGGAGAAATTCAAATGTGGCGATTTTTGCATATAGGTACTGTTACTATTTGAATTTTGAGTGTCACGGATTTAAAGCGAGCGAATTTTCTAAAAATTCACACCACTACGTGAGTCCAGACTTTAGCTCATAAAATAACCGCTCAACCTACATATTAAAATATAAAAAAAAAATAACCCTCAACTCTCGCTGATATTTTACCTTGAATCTTCTAGGAGATCTACCCAATCGAAAGTAGTGCATATTTATGCAATGATATAAACTTTGAAATGCAACTCTCGCAATGATGTATACCTTGATATATGCAATGATATACGGACTTTTACCAATTCAATCCAATGGAGCGCGTATTTCTGCATTAATGATCATGTGAATTTTTGAATAGTAACCTTAAGTTGAGAACTTGATATATGGGCTTTTCCATTATTTCCACCAGAAGTATGTGATACTGTGATGTTTATATCTTAGATAAAATTTGATCCCATACACGAATTAATTGCAATCTAGCAAAAGATAGAAACACAAAAGAGGGTATCTCAAGCTACAATTAAATCAGATTCAAACATAATACACGCTTGCGTCCTCAAGATTAAAAAAAAAAGGATCATGATTTCAATAATTGATCAAGTGAGGATTATTTGCATATGGGTGAGAAATTCCTTTTGATTTTTGGGTACAGTGCATATATAGCTTCCTCTCTAAGGTTAGTTTAATCATGAAACTGAAGCATGTCTTGGTTAAATTTTATGGAGAGAATGGTTGTATTTTGATTGTTGTGTTGTTTGGTACATGATGTGTACATATTTATACATATCATTGTCAATCAATCTCCATGGTTGTGGGAGATGATTTAGTCACATGTTTTTCATTTGCAAGTTCACAAGTGTGGGAGAGAATCAGGCAATCCATAATGGGAAGGTATTTGGAATTATTTGACACGTGTTCCTTAATTTTCTACGTGGTTGAACTGGAGGGAATTGCCATGAATTGTCATTCTTTTTATGACCTTGATTTCCCTTGATTGCTTAAAGCCTATAACAAATCACATCTCAGAAAAAACTGTTATGTATTCTTTTATCTGATCAAAGCAAGACATGCAGACTGTTGGTCTAAGTGCGTAGACCAAATCTGAATAAAAAAGATGAAGAAAACAGTCTAGTCGTTGGCCGGTTGACCGACGGCGGAGATCCGGTCGACCACGATGCCTGCAGAAAAATAGGCAGAAATCAAAGCTCTGGTCGGTCGACCGAGGGCCTTGATCCGGTTGACCGTAAGCATGCACCAAAACCCTGTCGAAATTGACATACTGGCCGGTCGACCGAAGCACATGGCCCGGTCGACCGGGAACGAAATTTCCAGTTTCCTAAGCTGTTTGGGAAACTGTTTTAGGCTAGGATCTTATATATACCTAAACGTTTTTAGAGTTATGTGAACACGTGAAAAAGATAGTTTTGATGGCTATTTGAGAGAGATCTCAGAGAGATAAAAACCTATTTGTGGGCATTGTAATCTTCTTTAAATTAATCAAATAATTGTGTGGTGTGGCTCCCGAGGGCGTAGGCACGTTGCCGAACCTCATTAAATCTGGTGTGTTCTTTCTTGTTTACTTTTCTGTAAATTTTATCTTTTATTTGTGGTGATTTTTCTACTTTCATACTCTCAGACACAAGGTCCGGAAGGGCACGGATTCGATTTGATTGTTTCGAATCCCTAACATAGACAACTAATTTCATCGGAAACTGACACGTGAACACATAATCTTATCTTCATTTAAAGGAACTTCATCAAATTAAAACTATCAATAATTAAAATTTTGTAATAGTTACATAGTTGGTAATCCTAATTAAAACATGACTATCTAATTTGAATCTAAAATAAAAATCATTTGCGGTCTTTTTCATGAGTTTTTTTTACCTTTTCTTTTTAAAGTTTTAATGATATTTAAAAAAGAAGGATATAAAGGAGGGATTTGTGGTTAAAATTAAATTATCTAGTTTTGAATTTCAAAATAGAAATAAAGACATCTACACAATTTTCTTTATAATAGAAAAGTTCAATCTACTTTTCATCCCATTCATCTCATGTATTATGTTCAAAACAGTACGATAAAATTCAAGGATAGTATCACGTTCAGGTTTATATCATAAGCCACTGGTTTAAGCTATTTGTATACTCAAAAAAAAAAAAAAGTTTTGCTCAGCAAATGTGAAAAAAGAGGAGTAGCAACCAAAAGAAAAAAAAAACTTTAGAACAATTTTATTTTATTTTTTGGTTAAACTAGCTTTTAAGTTATGAAGGCTTAATTTACTAAGAATTATCGTTATTTATTAGGAGGTGTCGCTTTCTCTTTTTCATATTCCCTCAACAATTTATTTACTCTTTTCCTTCCCTATTCAAGCAAATGAATCTTTCTCCGAGAAAAAGGAAAAGAAAATAGAACCATATATAAAACCTCTACACCTGCATTTTTAATGTTTGAAGGTAAAGACTTGGGTAACACTGACTTCATCAAAAGCCACGAATGAGTTTTATCTTGATGTCATCCTTATTATATATTAGTGATGGTAGTTTAGCCAATGAGCAATAGTTCTGTATATAGTTGACCATCGAAAATGATTGGCTTACAAGTTACAAGTATAACATTTTTATTAAAACAAACAATTAAAAATTGTCACCTAATCGTCATTCTCATGTTAATTAATTATAGACAAGTGTGTGAATAATATCTTATCTATATATAATATGATATAGTATAGTATAATATACATAATGTTAGTAATTAAAATGAGATTCCATCTCAAATACAGATATGGATACCTCATAATCAAAACCATAGTTCATTAATAAAGGCAGCATTAATGCACAAGGGAAGAAAACCATGTAGATTCCTCAATCCTCTTGATTCCATATTGATTTCATTTCTTGCTAAATATATAGTATTATGTATTAAAGAAAGCCCCGTTTTGTCATTGTGAGTCACACTGTTAGAATTTCGAAAATACCCTTACATTTGGAAAAACAAATTCTAAATGTCCGTTCACTTGGAAAAGTGTGATAATATATTTAAATTACTAAAAGTTATCTAAACATGATAGAAATTCAAATACTTGATCTAAACATGAGTTATCTAAACATGATAGAAATTCAAATACTTGATCTAAACATGTTTAGAAACTGAAAAATATAATCTATATCAAACGGAAGCAATAGAAATTCAAATACTTGATCTAAACATGTTTAGAAACTGAAAAATATAATCTATATCAAACGGAAGCAAGAATTAATTAAACTAACCTTCAGCCATTGTTGTCTCACACAATGGATAATGGATGTTGATTTCGAGAAGATCTTCTAAACCTTATCTCTTCACTAATAGATGGTGTATTTTCCCTTTCGAAAATTGAAGAGCAGGTATTAGGGACCAACCGAGATATATACTCTTTTTTTTCACTCTCCATCAAAGAGCAATAACCGAATTAGTGGTTTTTTCACTCTCTCCATCAAAGAGCAATAACCGAATTAGTGGGCAAAGTGGTTGGTTAAGTTATAACCAACTCTCTTGATGATGGGAAGTTATTGGACCATTTTGTAACCAAACGAGAAAATAAAACCAACAAAGTGAACAACAATGCCCTCACCCTAATCAAAGGGAATGGATATCCACAAATTTTTTTTTGGGGTGGGGCTTTGGGAACAAGGAAATAGCCTTGAACTTGGAAAAATCCAAAAGAAATAAAATAAAAATAACACTCAAAAATCATATTTATTAATTTTCTTAACAATTTGATTACAACACTTCCCCATGTTTAATATCATATATGCATCTTGCGCACCGGAGTCATTGTGTGGATAAAGAAATACTGATGAATTTCATTTTGAGCTAAAAAAAGATGATCAGAAAAGTTTTTTTAAAAAAATTAATGTGCGTGTTTAGAAAATTCAAACTAAAATCACATCGTTAACGAATATTATGCTTAATAACAAATAAGTTTGTGATGAAATGATCTTCCACAAGTGTAATATTCACTGATTTATTCAAACATGAGAGAGTCTTAATTATGATGACTTAAAATACGTGTGGAAGTATTTTAATTTGGTTAGGTCAATGACAATTGTTTTTTTGGATTTCTCCATGTGCTGGTCAGTCAACTACTCTTGGATCTGTTCATGTGTCTATTTTTTTTTTAAAAAAAAAGTTTTTCCTTCTTTTTATTGCCTTTTATAAATATTTGGGCAAATAACTGTTCCTAGTCTACCTTGAAGTAGAAGCCACGGGCTGAAATTTGATAGGTCTGAAGACACTCTTTTGCTTCTAATATAGCATTTTTTTCTTTTTTTTTGGGTATAGAACAATGTCAAATTTCTATGAGATTAAAATGGTAATTAATAAGAAAAATTTACCGGCTATGCTAGTAATAACTAAAAAGTAACGGCATTAGAGAGAATCATAAAAACCTGCAGCAAAAAAAAAAAAAAATCAATGTTCTATGAATAGGAATTGTTGGATTATTTTTCTCCCTCATGAACGTAGGGCCACAACATTTTAGCGACTTGACTTGACTTAGCTCGCACTCGACAATTACTTGGAAACAAAAGACTTGACAATGGCAAAATTGTATACAGGTCCTAGTCTTTCTTTTTATTGCTATGAAGTACATTTAACGCTCAATAGGGAGGAATCGCCCGTGGCATACGTTCATTCTTAAAATGACAATTAACCATTAAACTGTATTAGACATTGATAACTACTTTAACCCCCCCAAAAAAAATTTGTATCTGTTAGGTTTTTCGCCAACAATGAATGCAAAGAATGAAGAAGAGCATTTGGAATTTAATTATTAGATTGCACTTGTTAATTATTTGAACGTGTCAAAAGTTTGTTTATTTAGTGTAAGTAGATATGCTTTAGCCTTTTCCATCCACTCAAGCTATCAATTTTGATTAGCTTTTAAAGTGTTGAAATTTGTACCACCCTAAATAGCTTTCAAGTATATTGATTGTTCACAAAGGAAACCAATTTTAGGTGTAATTTTTGCAAAGAAAATTTACTAATATTAGTCCAAATCATAAGGACCAACCCATCTATCATTTTCACTCTCCCACCTCCTCCAGTAGAGGTTGGTCTCCTGTTATCTTTTCATTCTCATGCCCCCTATCTTACGTTATGAACTGAAAATACTTTATATATAAAAAAATCATATTTGAAGCTAGGTCCAACAAAACCAACCTGACTTCAACTGAAGATGATAACAACATTAATTAATACTAATGATAAGAAGAACCATAATGACAATAGCAACATCTAAGAGGGTGTTTGGGGATGTTTATTTTTGGTCAAACTAGCTTTTAAGTTTTAATTTTTTATTTCTACATGTTTGGTAAAATGTCAAATAAGTTCGCTTATAAGTCCCATTTTGAAAAGTTTGTATAGCCCAGCTTTTGAAAAACTAGCTTATAAGCTCACTTTAAAACGATAGGCTTGACCAAACAAATTACTATTCTACTCAAATAATTTTTACAGTATTTTTATCAAAAAAACCAAAAGCCATTAAAAACCAGTATAACTAATAATCTTCAAAGAATAAGTCTTCCCAAACACCCTCTAAATCTCTCTCTTTAAAGCTGAACTATTAATAATGAAAATTAACATTAAAAGTTTTCCCTCTCAACAAGGCCATTGTTTATAATTGAAGCGAGAAGCCTCCCCCACATGAACAGTATTATGAATCACCCTAATTTGGAGGGCTAAAAAATGAGGTAAAAAAAAGATGTTTGAAATTTAAGCCCTCGATATGAATGGGCACTTCCGACATGAGAAGTGTCATGATAAGAAAATGAGAAGTTGTATCTTCATACTCGACTAATGTTTCATCGAATATTCACACAGACAATCCTCAACGGTTCAGATCATCAATAAATCTAGATCATACTTGACACTATGCATGCTAATTAAGAGCATGAGAAATACAATATCATTTACTAAAGAAAAATAAGTTCCTAACAAAATAAAAAACAAAAACATTTTTCCTCACAAAAGACACTTATAAAAAGTGTCAACTTTATAACACAAGCAACAACTCTTCTCCCTCCTCTCCTTCTCTCACCTCCACCTGTAGACCGTTGTAAACAACCCTCCAAATATTTCCCTCACTCTTTTTCCCTTCTCTCTCTCTCTCTCTCTCTCTCTCTCTGTTCCCAAAATGCCCTCCGCCTCCCATCACCTCCTCCTCCTCCTCCTCTCCCTCTCCTCCCTCTCCTCCACCCTCTCTCGCTTCGTCGTTGAAAAGAGCAGCATAAGGGTCCTCTCACCGGAGCACATCAGAGCCAAGCACGACGGGGCCATCGCCAACTTCGGCATCCCCGACTACGGGGGTACGATGACCGGCGTCGTACTGTACCCCGATAAGGGGACCACCGGATGCAACCCCTTTGGTGGGCCCCCTTTCGGGTCCAAGTCCGGGAGGCCTGTGGTTCTGTTACTTGACCGAGGAGGTAATTAAGCTACGACTGATTAAAGGTTGTTTTTTTTATCGATCGGGTTTTTGGAGATTTGGGTGTCTGAATTTGGTGTCAAAATTTGATCTTGGTGATGGGTTGGTTGGTTTTTAATTATGAGATTTTGGAAATTAGTTATGAATTTAATAGCAGTTATTAGATGAATGAGGAGTTGACTTGGGTTAGTTTAATAGCTTTCTATATTAATAGTATCTTGCGATTGTGATTATAATTCTGTAATGAAGAGGTTTACTTGTGAAAAAATGGTGAATAGCCAGTTGACGTGGGTTGCTCTGAAACTTTCACTAAAGGTATCGCTCTGAAACTTTCACTAAAGTTATCTTTTTTAATCCTGAATGTAAAGTGTTTAGTAGTCTTTATGATTCTAATTGTAATCTTTAAGTTAGCGATTTAATGGGGCCATAGCTGGAAATATAATAAATTTCTGGGGGATTTACAGGTGAAAACACAGTTTTTAATCATGTTTGTGATTTTTATCGCAGTGTTTACCACTTCTCTGTTCTGTCCTCTTGTTATACACACACACACATACATGTCCATATACTGCTTTAGTTGGATTGTCAACATAGCGTAGGTTGGCTTTATATTTGATTTTAGAATTTTACAAGCAATTTTTATATTTGTGAATTCTTCAAAAGTATGCATCTTGTCGTTCAGGTTAGGATCTTAACTGTACCTCCCTTTTTTCCTTCACAAGAGAAGCCTAAAAAGTGTGAAACTTGTTTGTATTAGTACTTTGTGAACCATGTGCATGGAGTTTAGAAGAAAGCTACTCTTGTCCAGCTCTCAAATCTGCCACAGTACCAAGGAATCCTTACAGTTTAAATAATTACATTGAAGTTTCATGGCATTTGTATGTCTTTCAGTTATATGCTTCCATCACTGTCTCATCTCGTCTAGGCTTTATTCAAAGAGGGGTGTTAGGTACACAACCTCAACCACAATCCAAACCACACCTCTACTCTCTCTATAGTGCATTGGGACCTACATGAAATTTTAAAAATAAAATTTCATGTGGGTCCCAATGCACTATAGAGAGAGTAGATGTGTGGTTGGGATTGTGGTTGTGGGTGTGTCCCTAACATTTCTATTATTCAAAACACTTCTTTCTATTTGTTGGCGCCTGTGGTTAAAACTGGAATAATACAGATATATAACAGCAAAAATCTGAACAGAAAATTGAAGGGCAGTAATTTAAAATTTTCAACTTAGCTGTTGTGCGTTTGTAAAACACTGTGCTTAAAGTATTATTTGGCCTACTCCGGTGCAAGGATCCCAAGGCCAAATTGCTTCCAGGAACAGCAGTCCAGTACTCTGGTGTGCACCGACCCAGTACTGTCAAGATCTCCTCGATCTATAAGGCAAAAATCTCCTCGATCTATCAGGCAAAAGATCTCCTCGATTTATCAGGCAAAATTCCTATAAGCACTAACTATTTTACAATCTATATATGTATATATTGATTGTTGTTTTTGGAATGAATTTTCCTTAAGGATTTGAGGTCTATTTATAGCGTTTGGGAAAATACTATGCACTAATAAAATAATATATTTTACTATGCATGTGGGGCCCACGCTCTAATTTTTCTTCGGTGGGACCCACCACTTTATTCAAAAATCAAATTTGGCTGCTTCTCTTTCAATGATGATGGCTGTTTAAAAACTCATGGGCGGCTGTTACTAAAAAACAAAAATATCCAACAATCCCCCATAATTTTTTTTAACTAGTGTCATGTGCCGTCGTTTCAATCGTTGTGCATAAGGAAGATGTCGCAAGGACTTGAATCCCCTTTAGACCAATTGAATAAAAGATAGATGCATGGTATCGCAGAGACTTGAACCAGCATATGTCTAAAAATCCAGCGATCACACAAGATCAAACTTATCTGTGGTAGTTTTCACTTTGAACCACACTTACCTTTGTCTTTGCCTTGCCTTTGCACATTTATGACCCTGTGCATGTCCTGATTTCTGCTAGGGCTCTAGGTATCTTTTCACAAGACACCATTGAAGACGGTCAAATCTCCACCCATGCATATGTGAGTTCTTTTAGGTATGTTTCCTATCAAACATCCCGCATCCGAAATGCTTTGAACTCATTAAGACTTAAAAGCCATCCTCTCTCATGATAGGATTCTAGATGAGTCCTTTAGGTGTGTTTCCTATCTAACACCCCGCATCCGAATTGCTTTGGACTCATTAAGGCTTAACAGTCATCCCCTTTACATGATAGGATTCTAGGTAAAAAGATCAAAGTTTTACTCGGGTAGTTCAGCCAGGTAAGGATAGTATTAGAGGTTGATCAAAGATCAATTAAGTACCTCGTTCCTTGCGGAGCGCGTTACGCAACCCCCAAACCTTGCCTTAGACACCGACTAATCCAAGAAAACTTGAACTCTTTCACTTGTAAATCTTACTTGACTTTTGAACCATTTATCTTGTCATTAGTAGCATAAACTTTGAACTAATAACTAGATGTAAATGGTAAGTATTTGTAAGACTCACCAAACTTTATAAATTTGACTTGACTTTTGAACCAAATATCTTATCATTAGTAGCATAAGCTTTGAACTAAAGACTTGATATAAATGGTAAGTATTTGTAAAACTTACAAAACTTTGAGACTCATTCCAGCAGACGTCCTTTCGACTATGTCCTTTTTCAGACCCTTAGTCAAAGGATCAGCCACATTCTCTAAAGATCGGACGTCAATCACAGAGATGACTCCTTGACAAATGAGCTCTCTCAAATAGTCATGCTTCAGACGAATTGTCCGCTTCTTTCCATTGAACAACGAGTTTGCTGCCACAGCACTCGTCGCTTGATTATCACAATAGATAGTAATTGCACCTTGTAATTCCGTCAATGGAAGGTCTCAGAGAATACAACTGAGCCACTCAGCTTCATCTCCTGCAACACAAAGTGCGAAGAACTCAGATTTCATCGATGACTGTGCAATCATGGTCTGCTTCTTAGACTTCCACGAGACGGCAGCTCCACCCATGGTGAAGACAAAACCTCCAGTAGATCTGCACTCATCTGGTTCTGAGCACCAGCTCGCATCTGAATAGCCTTCGATTACACCCGGATATCTAGTGTAGAATAGGCCCAGACCTATAGTTCCTTTCAAGTATCTCATCAATCTCTGGACAACATCCCAATGAAGCTTTCCAGGATTACTTGTGAACCTACTAAGTATTCCTACAGCGAATGCTATATCTGGCCTTGTGCAGCTCATCGCGTACATAAGACTCCCAATGATCTTTGAGTACCTTAGCTGCTCTACTGGTCTTCCAGTGTTTGGTCGAAACTTCTTGTTGTAATCATATGGCACTGATAGTTCTGGCAGGTCGTAGTAGCCATACTTCCTTAGCATGCTCTCGACATAATGAGATTGAGACAATCCAATACCCTCTTTAGAGTATATGATTTTGATTCCGAGAATCACGTCCGCAGTTCCAAGGTCCTTCATGCTAAACTGTGCCGAGAGAAATTTCTTGATAGATGTTACTATCTCCAAATCACTCCCGATGATAAATATATCATCCACATAGTGGCAGATGACCACCACCTTTCCTTCAGCAACCTTGATGTATAGGCACTTGTCAGATTCACTGACTTGATACCCATTATTGCGAACAACCCTATCAAATTTCTCATGCCAGAGTTTTGGTACCTGCTTAAGTCCATATAATGACTTAACAAGTTTACAAACCTTACCAGCTGGAGCATCAAGTCCTTCTGGTTTCTCCATGTAGATTTCTTCTGTGAGATCTCCATTGAAAAAGGCAGTCTTCACATCCATCTGATATATGACGAATCTTTTAATCGCCGCCCATACGATAAGTACTCTGATGGTAGTGATCCTGCAAACCGGTGCATAGATATCAAAGAAATCTATACATTCTTTCTGAGAGAATCCTTTCGCTACCAGTCTTGGTTTGTACTTTTTAATAGTACCATCAGGATGAAGCTTCTTCTTGAAGATCCACTTGCAACTGATAGGCCTTGCACCTTCAGGTACATCCACCAGCTCCCAAGTGTGATTTTGGATCAATGAATCCATCTCATCATCTATAGCTTCTTTCCACAGAAGAACGTCTGTTGACTGCATTGCTTCTTGAAAAGTCTGTGGATCTTCTTTCACATTATAAGTGATGAAGTCATCTCCAAAATCTTTCTGTCTTCTGACGCGCTTGGAAGATGGTTCGATAACTCTTTCATCATTGACTGGCTCCTCTTGTGCATCTGATGTACTAGCATTCTCTGCTACATCCTTGAGCAATAAACCTTTATGTTTGATAAACTTATCCTCAAAGAATTCTGCATCCCGAGCTTCAATGATAGAGTTGGTTCCAAGGTCTAGGAATCTGCACGTATTGCTATCTCTAGCAAAGCCAAGAAATACATATTTGTTTGCCTTTGGTCCGAGCTTAGGCCTTATGATATCAGGTATTCGAACGTATGCGAGACACCCCCACACTTTGAGACTATCCAAAGAATCTGGATATCCCAACCATAACTGATGAGGAGTACTATTAGTTTTGGAATAGGGTACTCTGTTCAGAATCCAATTTGCCATCAGCAAAGCCTCTCCCCAATAGCAGGTAGGTAGACCAGATGTGATCAGCATCGAATTCACCATCTCGGTCAATATGCGATTCTTTCTTTCTGCAATCCCATTAGATTGCGGAGAATACGGAGCAGTAGTTTCAGCAATGATTCCATGCTCCTTGAAGTATGCTTCTGATTCCTTAGATCGGTACTCTCCTCCTCTGTCGCTCCTGAGTCTTTTCACCTGAAGTCCAAGCTGCTTCTCCACTCGAGTCCGAAACTCGACAAATTTGCTGAAGGCTTCATCTTTAGATTTCAGTAGGTAAACGTGACAGAAGCGAGAATAGTCGTCGATGAAGGTGATGAAGTACTTCTTGCCGTCACGAGTGACAAAGCTCTTGAAGTCACAAGTATCTGAATGAA